AAATTATAAGCTCATTTTGAAGCAAATGGCATTATCTTTCACTGGTTGGGTCTATTGACTGTTTCCAAAAATCAAAGGCAACATCAAAAGGTTGCAGTTTTTCCACCGTCTTAGTAATTCAAAGCGAAAGAAATTGAAAATGTCAAATGCAGTTCCTAATATAATATGAATGTGAGCAATTGCAGCATCATTAGAATAAATCTGTAACCTCTCTTATGGTGATTGCCTTAAAGGATATGATGTGTTCCTGTGTCTAAGCTGTGACGTGCTTGTTCAAGTAGTCACAGCTGGTGGATTCAGAGCAGACTGCAGTTAATAGAAGGTGGGAATGAGCAAGAAATTTTCCCAGGTGAGTGAAGCTGAAGAGTCCTGGTATAATCTAAAGGGTAGAGAAGGTCAAGAGTGGCCCCTGGGACTTAAGCGGCTAAGAGTATAAAACTAAAATCAGTGCACAGACATAAGTGGGGCAAGAGTGCTGAAAGACAGATGCAAGAGAGTGTGTTAGCAATTCTGTAAACCATACTCTCTAAATTAAGGAAGGGAAATCTGATGAATGGCCAGGAGTTTGGCTGATAGGAGAAAGTAGCTTTGGGACAGTGGAAAACAGTCTAAATTTGGGTCAAAGGCCATGGACTTGTTTCCTTCTTCTATCACGTAGCAGCAGCATGTCCTTGGGAAAGTCACTTGACCTCTTCTTGCTCATGTACTGTATTACAGCCCTTAGAATAGCACTGTGAGCTAGCTATTTGTGCATCTTCCTCAAGACTTCAGTATGTCAAGAAAGCCTTTCTATTCTATTCTTTCTATTCTTTTCTATTCTATTTGCATTTCCAAGTGCCTGGAATAGAAGCTGTCACAAAATAGTCAACAGATCATTTTTTGTTGAAATAAAATGCAGAACTGGTATGAAAATTAAAATGGCAAAGCCATTTTGTGAAGTATAGAGGACTATACCATTGCAAAACATTTTTACAAAAATAAAAATCTGAGGATTGAGTTCCAATGAAGGAAATAGAAGAATTCAATAAAAAATGTCTTAACTTTAGATTTTAATGCTTGGCTCAAGTCCCAAAAGGTTGAGATCACAGTGTTTTTGGTTTTGTGGTTATAGGCAGCAGATGGCATTAATTCTAAAGAGTATTAATGGTTTGATTTGATTATTGAGGGATTATACTTCACACTCACAAATACCGCATCATAGGTAATATCTCCTACTTGTTGCTCCTCTGATGGACCTTTGCCATGAAAGGATCAAAGTTAATACTTAATCCTTCAGTAACTTGCAAGTGTTCCTTCTTTTCTTTACTCCTTTGTACTCTAAGGAGGAGAATGGTATTTTCTCTTGCCCTGGAGTTAGTTAATATGAGGCATTCTCAGCGTTAAAAGTGCATCTCCTCCCACATCTAGCTGGGCACCAGGTTCCCAGCGTGGGGCTTGGGTCCCATGTGTTATGCAGTGGATATATCTACACAGGCTAAAACACTATCGCCTCTGCCTGAGCTGGTTTGGAGACTTGTAGACAATGGCAGTCTTTTCCTTGAAAGTGCTTCATGATATAATGAACCTTAAAGATGAGAGCTTTGACTTATTGTAGGTCTCCTAAATGACTAAATTTGGACCTTCCACTACGTGACTCTAGTGCAGATGAGAGGAATGGGAAACAAAATATTCACCAATCATTTTGATGACCTTCACACTCTTGAACCTAATTGCCAGTCAGCCTTTTAGTAAGAATGCTGAGCTATAGTTGTTCAGTATCATATCAGGTTATGCTGTCAAATTTGATAAGCTCCTCCCCATTTATTTTCTTCTCTTTTATCCTTGAAAAGAAATTGTTCCCAAGGATAACTCCAGTTGATTATCCAGAAGTGTCAGGCATGATTAATATCTTACCTTATATCATACATCATCTTTTTTTCCCCTTTGGGGCCCTGAGAGCAATGTCCTTTTCTGCTCCTTGCTGCCACAACAAATAAGTTCCCCTGTATTGTATTTACAGAAAGACATATTTCCTGATGTCTGTGCCCTGCACAGGTTAGCAGATTGGATGGCAGTAGTTAGGACTGTCATAAATCCAATGCTGGCCTGATGTGTCTGGGTGCTGCCAGGGGTCAGACTCACGGGACTGCCATAAATGGCTGTCGGGAAATGACAACCAGAAAGAGTATAAGCCTTCTTCCTGCCCCTCCCGCTCCCATCACAGCACATAACAAAGGAGAATCCAGAAAGTCTGAGCAGCACTGTTCTAGCTGAGAGCTGTTATCATTCCCCACACGTGCTACATTCAAAGTTTTGTGCTGTGTGCTGGAGGCATGGCTTGGTGGCAAAGCACTTGCCTAGCACATACAAGGCCCTGAGTTCAATTCCAGGAGGGCAAAAGAAAACACAGCAACAACAGAAACCTCAGATTGTATAGAAGAGCATGCATTTGGGTCAACATCGAAAGGCCTTAAGCTCAAGAATCACCTCTAACTTTTTGAGCTGGAGTAAAATGAGAAAACTTCCAGCTTCAACTTCTCCCTAAACAGAGATTAATAGTTTGCTTGCCATGTGTAAGAATTCAGTCCCACATTACGCATCAAAAATGTTTTGCTTTGTAACTTGCCGAATGCTGTGGAAAGAGCAGGGGTGAGTGAATTCCACTGTGTGCTGGGCATTGAGGCACTGCATCCTTCTCGGTCTCGATTTCAAAGGGCACATGCAGGTTCACATCCAGTTGCATCCACTGCCCTTACCTCTCTAGCAATGCCCTGCTGGTTTTCTTTGGCCTAATTTTGACATGATCTTTGGCTCCAGAAAGAAGAACTGTATGTTCTTCATCCAGTCTATCTGTCTGCTATGGTTTGGGTCAATACTTGTTAATGGAACACAATCTCTTCCCCTTTTGTCTGAAATCTGTGGTTGTACCTGACCAAATGTTTCAAGAACTTTGTGAAGTAGGTCTAAATGAGTTTCATGATATATTTAATCTTTAGTCCAAGCGCAATTTGATTTTTTATTTGATAAGCCTAGGAAACACCGTTTTGGTCTACTAGATGCAATTCTTTGAATTTTATTGTTTGGGTTTTTTTTTTGTTTTTTTGGTACCGGGGATTGAACTCCGGACCTTGCGCTCGCAAGGCAGGCGGCAGAACCACTGAGTTAGATTCCCGGCCCAATTCTATGAATTTTAAATAAACATCCTTGGATTGGAAGGGACATTCAGTAATTAAAACTCAATAATAGCCCCAAACTAAACTAGCTTAGCAAAATCTTGAATCTGGAAATGAATCAGAGAAGAGAGTGCAGAAGCAAAAGAGCCTTTTAGGGGTTCATTTAGGGTGTGTGCTTAGGGATAATCTTCACATTTGTTAATAATGCAACAAAGTTTCATTATCATTTCTACGACCTAAAAAATAACCATTAGAGCTAGGCATAGTGATGCATGCCTATAATCTCAGCACTTGGAAGGCTGAGGCAGGAGGATTGCCATGAGTTCAAGGCCAGCTTGAACTGCATAGCGAGACCCTGTCTCAAAAAAAAGTTAGAAAAACTGAAAATAATATTAGAATTTCCAGATGAACAAGAAGGAGCATGGAGGAAACAAATTGAAGTGAAGAAAAGAGAAAAAGAGGCACTAGAAAGGCAACTAATAAGTAGTAAAAGCAAAATAAGGTGGCAGGTAAACTTCTGGGTGATTATTGAAGCAGACTTCAATGCAGAGAAAAATAAAAAACAGTAGCTTTGTATGTATACTCACTGTTATGATTTAGATCAAGAATATTCCCCCCAAAGACCTCATGCACTCATAGTTGAGACAATATACTTTTCCTCTGGTAAGGTCAGCAACTGAGTGTGCTGTTAGGAGGTGAGGTCTGGTCAAAGGGCTGGGTCACTGGGGTGTAACCTGGAAGGGTGCATCTCCCTTCCCAGATCCTCATGTCTCTGTTTTCCTGGCTACCATGGTGTGAGCACATTTCCTCTACCTAGGTCCTTCCACTATGCTGTTCCACCTCACAGCCAGCCAACCATGTACTGTAACCATGATCCAAAAGAAACTTCCCTTAATTTCTGGGTTTCAAGTATTTGTCTCAACAATGAGAAGGTAATTAAGACACTCATGAAAACACTTGGTGCCGTTCAGCTCATCGTTGGTGTGACTTTTCAATAAGCCCATCCACAACCTTCAGAGAACCTGGAACAACACTACAAAATGGAAGTCTAAATATTCAGAAGTCACCTTATCCAACTCATACTCTGTTAACATACTTTTCCATCTTTCTATTATTTTGAACACAATTATTTTCAGAACATCCTGGAAGACCAGCTTCAAATGTAGAAGCCTTGGGCTTCAGGTACAGAGGAGAGCAATATAGGGAGAGCTGCCCCAGTGCCTTGCTGGCTTCTATTCTCATGCACTGCCCTCTCCCCTTGCTTTGCTCTGCTGTATAAGGGGCTTTGCACACACCTGTGGAGAGTCCAGTCTGAGGGCTTGATCAAGCTCTACCTACCATCCCATAAGGGCCTAAGGGCAGAGCATCTGGAGGTTTTTGGACAGGAGATTTGGGGCCCTTGATATGAGCTCATGGCCTTGCTGTGGGGCAAAGCAGAGGCTCTGGATGGGCATGTGCCCTTGGCCTTGCACATAGTGGCAGGAGGGCAGTGGCAGGAAGCACATCAAGGCCTTTAGAATGTGAGGATCCTCAGGCAGGGGTCTTTTTCCATAAGTGCCGTACTCCAAGAGAAAGTACTTAAATGTTCTCGTTCCATTTTAGGGGAACTCAGGAAGGATTTAAAGGGTGTTTTGATCTCTCTCTGGATCCAATCCCCTAAGCAAGGAGTGCTGAAGTCCCCAAATGGGACCCGTGAGACTAAATTCCATTATTGGCTTTTCTATTGTGCTTTCCTCACTGAAATGGAAGTAATTCTCTCTCCTAGGGGCACTTAAGAAAAGATAAGTGTGAATTTCAAGAATCTGAAGGCCAAACCCTGGATTAATGGATGTGAGGATCAACACTAACCTCTTTCTTCCATTCCTTGTGACTTCTTTTGGCCCCAGTTGCTCTTCCTTCACAACTAAACACCAAAGGCTTGTTTGTTCTGGTTGTACTTTCAGTCTCTGTTTTGTGTGTTTGTTTTTGCAAAGGTGGCACCAGCCGGCCAGGTGACTTAGCATGGGGGCTCACATGGGGCAATGCCAGCTTCCAGTTTCTCCTAAGTGCTGTGGAGATGGGAAACTGGTCAAGCTCCAGAAGCAAGCTGGAAACGCCTGACTCAGGCCCTAGTAACCACCTCTCCTTAATGGCAGGAGAAAACGCCTCCCGTTCTTGGGAGGAAGGAAGAAAATCACAGATGTGAAAGTGATGAGAGATGAAAATAAATGGGTTCATCTGAAAGGACGAGCCAAGTTTTCTTCCCTTCCTTATTTGATCCTCCTGAGTTCATCCTTTGCTGCAAATAAGCACCTCGAGGCAATTAAAAATGCCGAGCTCTCGGGCGTGAGCACACTGATTTGGTCTTTATAGGAGAAAATGAGTTTGGAGACAACAGGCAACAGCCTGTCCTTTTACATATCTGGGGGGGAACAAGCTTCACAAACACTTAGAGCCTTTCTCTAAACAGATGCCTTTGAATGAAAGGCTGGGTGGCTTGTCTTTGTTTCTTGAAAATACCAAAAGTAATTGGGACCAGGACACATTCACCTTGGAGTCAAAACCACTGCTTTTACTGGAGGTAAAAATATAAATAAATGCTTTAAAGCTTTAACATTTTCTCTTTCAGAGGGTTACATTTAAGTAGCGTCTTTCAAATAACTGTATATTTTCCTCAAATCACTAAAACAAAGGGCAAACCAAAACAAACCAACTGCTACCAGAGGGGACAATTTTCCCGCTCAGCTGAGGCACTATTTGCCGAATTGCAGCCCAGGAGTGATTTTTACAGCCAAGTTATAAATGGCTGGCAATTGGGAGGTTTTGATGGAAATTCTGGCCAACCTTTAGTTGTGCTGATGGTTGTGAGTGCTACTATGATAAAGATGTCCTTCTCTACTCCTCGCAACTCAGGCTGCACAAGCTTTTTAATTCTCACAAATAACGTCCTGAGCTTGCACTGAAGCTAGGCAGGCGAGCAGCCTGGAAAGTAGGATTAAGGAATAAAACCCTGTTCTGGGTCAGGATGTAAGACTGTGGGTTTGAGATCTGACCACCCAACCTGGGGTGGCATCATTGTCTGACCAGCAGTGGAATGGCTAATTACCTCCTTTCCCCCAGCCCCTCTTCGACAGGGAGTCAGTAGGAGGGACCCAGGGCTGCCATTGCCCTCCAAGGCCGTGGATCCCTGGCAAATGTCTTGTTGATGCGGTCTACAGCGGTGTCCTTCACTGAGGTATGGGTTTTTCATTTCACGTTATCAGTGATGAGATGCTCCACTCTGATGAATTTCACTTGGCACCAGGTCGTGGTACAGACCTAGAAATTTCATCTTTTAGTTCACTATTTAATCGCTACAAATTAAGCAGAGCTATCTCATGGTTACCTCTGAAGGATATAATTTTAACCTCCTTCACGTGAACCCAAAATCTCTTCAAAGAGCTCATAAAATTTTGAGGCTTTTGTCATTGCTTTCAATCAGATTGCTCTCAAATCTTCTTTACACACTTGTCACCCCCCCACACACCCCCAATAAAGCATATGTTCCAACCTATTAAGTTCTTTGCACATCAGAGCCACCCAAAAGAGGTCAAAGAGTACTGTTTGGCACATTTTTTACTTTGTCACTTACTGCTGCAATTTTTGTAGGGAGAAAAAGAGTTGACAACTGCCCTTGAAAACATGAGAATATGGAGATTTTTTTTCTGCCTTGACAGGTTTCTTTTTTCTCTCTCTCTTAGTCTCACAAATCAAGCAGTCTCTGTGTTCTATGAAATGTAAAGTTTAGTTGGATGACTTTTCATAAACTTCATTTTTAACACATTTTTCCCTCTTGTATTTCTATAATATATGCAAAATGCCAAGCTCCTCAAAAGAACTTTACAGGTCATTTTCCTGCCACAATAGTCGAATCAACAGCAAATGCACTTCATGGTTTAAATGCAGTGACAGAAGCAGTCTGACAGCAGAAATATGTACTGGATAGTAACTTCCGCAAAAACCTTGTGATTATCAAGAGTAGAGATTACGGCTTTAGACATCACCCTTTTTTCCTCTCTTTAAGAGATGTGTCCTGTGTAAATATGGAGGAAGAGCATTTGCTGGCTTTGTGCCATCAAGTGGCCTTGACCTGGTGACATAATCGATTTCCGACCTTTGTCTTTATATATATTGGCCCAAGAGAGCAGAACCATAATAGCTGCTTCCCTCAACAATTAATTTTGATCTGCTCTATGTATTGAGCCTCACAGAAATCCCTGAAAACATGAATTCCAGGTCAGTGTGGGGCGAAACACACACATGTGTACTTAAGGGTGCACACACTTGCATCATATTTTTTCAATTCCAAAATTAGATCATCTAGTCAGCTAAGAGATTTTTCTTCTGATTGATGAATGTTTTGATATGAAGAGTTGCACAAGTAAAATAATACAATTGTTTTGAGTTATTAGCATAAGGCAAAGAATAAAATGAAATCAAATTACAATGGTTGCAAAACATTTGAGGTGCTTTTTCTCTCATTGGTAGTGAAATAAACCTACTCCATCCTCGTCTAAATATGAGGAGCAGTTTGATCTCTTGAGCATATGCTCTGTTCTCAGAAACCTGAGTAATTCTTTTTTTACTAGTAATCCTACTAGATGCCCCAGTGATTGGACTTTGGGTCTTGGATCTTATTTTATGAATAACAGGGTATCACTCATTGTTGCCTTTTGTGTCTGCATCTTTGGAATATTCGTTCATTATCAGAACCCTGCCCAGAGGAGGGCACTGTTCAGATGGATTTTTTCTTTTTCTAAAGAAATTTTTTTTTTTAAGTGAAAACTTTAGTTTCTTAAAAGAAATTACCAAACTATAAAATATATTCCCCAAAATTTTCTCACAGAATTATATTGATTTTTTAAAAAATAAAGATTAGGACATAAAGATATCACCAGATGAGTAGACCAGATTCCATTATTGAATCTCATCACACACCCTAGAAGATTTTGCCTAAGGAAACTTAATTTACCAAGACCTTATTTATTGATATGGCATTGCTATTTATTTTTAATTGTCATTATGTAACAGGCAAAATGTGAGTAGCAATTGTCTACTGCCTGCCTATTTCATCCCAGGAGATAAATGAAGATTAATCCCTATAGGTATTTTGTGTCCTCTGGATAGAAGTGATATACAAACAGATGTGCACATTGTAGTGTGTACTTTCCTTATTGTAATTTGTGTGGTCTAGTTGTTTTGATGTGTTTAAAAGTGGCACAGTACTCAGATAGTAATGAATGCCCTTCTTTCAGGGACAGAGTTAATAAGTACCTGTGGAGTTTAATTACTCATGGCAAGCAAAAAAGGAACCAATTAATCTATTACCATCTATCAAGGTGGCTTTAATTTCTCTTTCTGTTCAACTTTTGCTTTCTGTCTTCATCATTTTGAAAAACTGGAAAACTATAGAAATGTTTAGGCCAAGAGTGGTGACATATGCCTGTAATGCCTCTACTCTGGAAGGCTGAGGCATCAGGAGGATTAAAAATTTGAATCCAGGCAATTTAAGGTCTTAGGGAGAACTCAAGAGAAGAAAAAAAAAAAGAAAAAAAAGAAAAAAGGGCTAGAAATGTAGCTGGTGCAAGGCCCTGGGTTAGCACTGCCTTCCTCCACACTGCTGAAAGTGTAAAGAATAATATAATGGGCACTTTGAATCAGTTAATATTGCCACGGAACATGTCAACTAAACGCCTAGTTGCTTAAAACATGAATCATTCATTCATTATCTCTCATGAAGCAAGGCTGTATGGGAAGTTCTGCTTATCTGAGTGGACCTGCTCATGTATCTGCAGTCAGCTAGTGGTCATCCCGGGAAAGGCAGGAGCTGGCTGGTCCCTGGTGGCTGCAGCTGGGATGGCTCTGCTCTGCTCTCGGCAGTTTCCTGTCCTCCATGAACTGTCATGGTGGAGGCAGGGCTCTGAAAGGGTGAGAGCAGAAGTGTGGGAGGTGCAAGGCCTCTTCAAACCTAGTCTTAAAGTGATGAACTGTTAGACCCTCCTTTGCTTTCCAGTGATCAAAACAAGTCATAGGGGCCAGTCCTGTCCAAGAAGCAGGAGAGCAGACCCTACCTTTCATGGGAGGGTGTCAGGCAGTGTTGTTGAAGGTGTGGCTGTAGAGAGGGCTTTGGTTGGGGCTAACAACACAACCAACCTGGTATATACAACATTCCTGACCTCCTGGGATAGATAATTCTTAATACTTTATCCTATTATTCTCAATTAAAATATTAAATAGAAATGGGAAAAGATTTAGACCTTTTTTGCATGTCCCATGTATCTCCCAAGTGGGGAAATTACACCATGAATTTGTTTTGTGCTTAGTCCACTTAAAAATACTTTTGCAAGTATGGTACACACACACACACACACACACACACACTTGCAAATATGTTTGCAACTCTTTGCAAAAGTATGTCTGTAATTTTTATATCGCATCAAGAGGTAGTGTCTAATAACCCTGCAGGGGAAGGGACACTGCATGACTTCCAATGAATCCAGGCCATCACCAGGTTTGTGGCATCTGCCTGGCTTCCTCCCTGTTGGGACACACACCTTGGGAGCTGAGTCAGCATGTAAGAGCTGCAGCTGATGCCACTGGGCTGGAGAACCCACTCTGGAGAGAGTGATGCTAAGGAGCCTTGACCTTTCAGTCCCCAAGTGCAAGACAGGGCAGCGATCAAGCCTCTGAGGAGTTCAACCTCCCCAGGTGAATCTCTGTGGAGGAGAAAGGGGATTTCCCCATCAAGCCCCTCTTAACTTGCAGGTTGTGGGCTGCATCTGTCAACTCAGGTTGCCATTACAAAATACCATGGACTGGGTGGCTTAAACAACAGATATTTATTTTCTTACAGGTCTGGAGATGAAAGTCTGAGATCAGGCATCACTGTGGGTGGTTACTGCTTAGGACATGCTGCCTGGCTTGCAAACAACTTCCTTCTTGTCTTCATCTAGGAAGGGTGAGGATGGAGAGGCAGAGAGAAGGAGGAAGAAGGAAAGGGGGAGCAAGGAAGAGGCAGGAGCGAGTCAAAGCCAGGTCTCTCATGTTTCCTCCTTTGAGAACATTATGAACTCATTTAATCTTAATTATTTCCTTATTCCAAATGCAGTCATGTAATCATATCGGGAGTTAGAGCTTTAACATACAAAGTTTGAGGGAATACAATTTAATCTA